ATATTATAATATAAATAGCGTTGCAACCAATACTACAAAGTTCACACTTTTGCTTTTTTCTTGTAAGTGAAATTTATCGCTCCTATTTATGACCCTGATGATCCAGGGAACGTCTTGGCTTAGTCCAATATATTGCTCCCTGAACTCACCCTGTCTGCCGCCCACATGCTGGATGATTTATTTTTGAATGTCCCTATTGCTGTGTAGGATCTGAATCTGGCGCAAGGTAGGCTCAACACAGCCTCTGATCCATATGGATTGTCTTATTTTCATCTCCGACGTGCTTTTGTGCAGTTTCTTATTGTTTTTGCCATTATATATACATTTATTCTTCCTCCTGGATAACCTCCACTATTCTTTATGTTCCTCAAGCAGAAATCTTCTGCCCAGATCGAATCAGTTTCACCAATGTCTCCAGCAAATTGAACGGATCCCTGTGCGTCGACTTCATGTTTTTCTTCAAGATCGTGATATATTACCGAATTTTCAAGCCGGATTGTAACCTCATCTGTCCACCATGGATCAACTCATCAAACTCTTTGACACCCTCACCATCATTTTAACTCTTCCAGACTCTCGAGTACGCTTCTTTTTTGTCTTCGAACGTGTTTTTTATTCCGTTCAGCATAGAAGGCTTAGTCTTCACATTTCACCGTTTTTAACTTTCTCTTACTTAGATCCGCTTACAGCTCTTTTCTCACTGGTCGCAGTGCGGCGGATTCCATCGAAGGTACTCCTTCTTCCTATACTCTGGAGTGCCTCAAGAATCGGTTTTGTCCATTCTCCTTTATATCTTATATATTGCTCAGATGTTACTCCCTAGAATATCCGCTCATCGTTTCCAATATGCTGATGATACAGCTCTTGTCGACACCTGTCCAACAATGATCACCCTCAATAGAGTTTTACAGTTTTATAGTTTAGTGCCGTCGACGGTGTCTTTCCATCAGTACCATCAAAAACAGAGCCACATTTTTTGGTCCTATTTTGTATAAATTCCGTCCTTGTTGCACTCCGTCCCTGTTTAACGCTCGAATTAAGGATGTTCAAATTTAGCTTTCAGATACTAACAAATATTTTTGTGTTATTATTGAAAAATATCTTACCTGGAAGGCTCAAATGACGGCTATCAACCAGAAGGTCACCTCCCGTCTCCACCCACTCCGACGGTTATCCGGAAATACGTGGGGTATGAATCTGCCCCTTTATTCGCCCCTGTCTTATGTTCGGTCACACCGCTTGACTTTCTGTCTACCAACTTTGATTGGCTCCTCCAGGCATTGGAACATCACTGTTTGCGTCTCGTTTTCATGTCAAACAACCTAGTCCTTCCTACACTGGATCTTTATAACTGCATCTTTTTTTCCCGCCGATTCTTCGCCATCTCCAGGAGCTTCGAACCCCTTATGTTCACCACTGTTTTCTGAATCAAAATTTTATACTTGCTGATCAGCTCTCCATGCTAGTGAGAACCCGTCGCAAAGCTTTACCCCCTGTTGATCATCTATGTCATGTCGCTTCCACCAGATGATCATAATGCCTCGCCGTAACCAAATTTGCAAAGTTCCATTTTTCCCGAGGATTGATGGAAGGATCTTCTCACTCCATTAAACTTATTAATATCGTTGATAAAAAAAAAAAACGTCATTTAAAATCAAAAGTTATGTTTCACACATATTTAAACCTGCGGCAGGTAAAAGGGCTGACTGTTCGACTAAAAAAACAACTCCATCATCAGAAGTTCTATATGATTTTATAACATCATAACACTTTTATTTGTCATGAATTACTTCATCGCCAGAAGATGTATATACTTTTATCATAAGTAAAACTTTGAGTAAAATCATATAAATCTTTTAGTGATGAAGTCTAACACCATAACTCTTTTATTTGTCATGAATTACTTCGTCGCCAGAAGATGTATATATTTTTATCATAAGTAAACTTTTATTACTTTATCACTAAAAGATTTATATGATTTTATAACATCATAACGCTTTCATCTGTCATGAACTAGTACTTCTTCACCCGAAGTAATATGTGATTTTATAACATGGTAAAACTTTTACTTCTCATCAATTACGTCTTTACCAGAAATTGTATATGATCTTATAACATGTTAAAACTTATTTGTCATGAATTACAAACTCATTGAATTTCATTACTCGAAGCAAAAGTTAACACAAGAAGTGTATGGGGCAAGAACCACATGACTTAATCTACCATGTGGAGCATTTTCTTTTACTTCCTATCAAAGTAACATATAAGTTTGTTCTTTGATCTTCATATCAAAAAAGTTTTATATACATAAGATCCCCCAGCGGTATGTCTGCGGACTTACAACGCTAAAAACCGCTTTTCGATACCCGTGGTGGGCAGAGCACAGGTGGCCCATTGTGTAGCTTTGTGCTTAACTTCAAACAAACAACCCCCCAGTGGCCCAGCTGTGAGCCCCAGAGCTTATATTGCTAAACTCCATAGACACGAAGCAGCTAACCCAGTGTATAATTTTGCAAAAACAAAACAAAAAAGTAAACATTTTCTCATGTAAATAACGAGCAGAGTTTACTAAATTTTGAAAGTTATCCGTCAACGCGATTTTATGCCACGAGGAGAAAAGAATATAACCCAAACAACAAACCAGAAGTTTAAAATACTACACTATTATTATAAAGCTGAATTCCTGGCACTCACTCAAGATGGCAAGTTTCATTGGCCTTGTTCTTGTTTTACTTTGTGTTACACTGCATGCTACAGTCTTTCTTATATGCTTGTTCAGGGTTCTGTTTCCACGTCTCCTGTAGTAGGAGTAACCCAACTATTTATTTGCCTTACAGCATAAAAACAAAAAAGCCGTTTTCTGTTCTAACAGGTTCAGCCACTCTTCTGCCTTTTGTTCTTTAACGTTAAGCCTAGCTTAGCTTCGCCCTGTACATGTAAACGTACAACAATGTTGGCCTTTTTTCTGTGTTATACTCTTAGTAACAGATTGGAGGATTTAACAATAATATTCCTAAAATCTTTTTTTTTTTTCACAGGAGGAATCTAAAAAATAATAACAACGTAGAAGCTACTCTATACACTCTATAATATACAATATTTAACTCTGCTATATAAAAGAAATGGAAGTTAAGCTTTCCATTCAATCATATAATATATTTAACCAGTCTATAAAAATAGAGGTTAATATTAACACTGTAATATACAATATTTAACCCTGCTATAAAAAAATAATGGTTAACCTTTATGTTAAAATAACACCCTAATTTTAAGTCAGCAACACGTTAAATAATTATTGAACAGTGTGACATTAACGAAAACTCAATGTCCTCTTAACGTACGCTTCTAATTTTATCATCTACGAAAAACCAAAGTATCATTCAGATATATTGATTTAGAACAGAAATGTTTGATCTGTAATTGAACTTCATGCTCTAAACTTCGTCCTCCTCATGTTTGTTTTGTTTTTCAATTACGGTGTTGGAGATTTTTTTTTTCAAAAATGACTTCTTACACAAGATAAGGATGGCGCAGAAAAAGTGAAAAAAAAACAAAACAAACAATATTTCAACGAAAAACATATAAACGTAAAAACTTTCAAGCTTAACTTCAAAAAAAAAGTTATTTGATGTTCACTGTGAAGAACCTTCACAAAATATAACCCCTAGGTCCTCAAGGACGAAATTACAGTTATTTTACGTTAAATCTACCGCGTAGTACAAACAAGTCGTCGCGCGCCTAATCCAGCACCTTCCGACCGTGACGCAGATGACAGTAAATACGGAAAACTGCATATTCTTGGTGTCATATACCGTAGCGCTACCCTTATACACTACCGCATTCCAGAACCAGACGGGTCTATGCAGTAAGGGGTGGACAGTTAGAAGCTCTGAGTTTGTCAGGAAGGATCTCAAGTAGAATCTTGGTGCCTTGCATGCTCTAATGACTGACTACAGATGGCAAGAGGCCAGAACGGTATCGTGGAATATCAGGCTTAGTAAACTTGGAAAACTCGTTCTGCCAGTCTGAAATCGGCTGGCCCTCTATTATCTTGTGAAGAGTACCGTTATCCATGGCGCCTTAAGTATACAGGTTACTGAGGCGACCTTTCTGCCCTGTTGCAAGTTGTCTTACCTACACAAATCGTAGTCTACATTGCTTTATCCTGAAGAATACATTTTGTTCTGTTGTTGTTTTCAGTTAGTGTTCCGCAACCTTTAAAGATGGGGATAGAACAGAATTTGCCCAGTAACCGTTTTACCACAGCCGCTTTTGCGGATTATTTTAAAGTTACTCTGGTACTCAACAAATTGAGCAGAACGTGTTCACTAGTATAAAGATTGAAGTGATCCTGAGCGCCAGTCGTTTCTCACTTTGACTGATGAAATGATACGAAACACACAAAAGATATGAAAGATCACCATTATGGCGAGACGTTGAATAAATTGTAATTAAAACAGTAAAGTTCCACAGATATTTGAAGAAAAAAAAAACTATTTAAGCGACGCTACCGGATGTTTGAAGCTCAGTTTTAAAAAAAAAATGAACGAACCAAGTCAAACAAAAGCAAAATAAGTAAATTCGAGAGCCACTTTGTCTTATTCTATTATAATTTCTTTCAATGTTTCAGCTTTAAGTTTTCTTTGAAAGCAGTATAAACATTTAGTAGTGCTAGCCTTCTCAAAAGAAAATCTTCTTGTTGTTACTGTTTTACCACAATCATAATATAAAATATGTAAGCAGCACCCTTCCCCTAGTAGTAAGGTTTTTGGTTATACTTTATCAACATTCAGCAAAAACACGTGTGGTTTTGTAGTACAGCACTAAGGCTGTATTAAACAGCCGGGATCACTTATTTGAGAACACACCCTCGTGCGAGATGCCCAAACAGCTCACGTGAACCTATTTGCACCTCCTATTTGACGTTTATAACCCGCAGAAATGAAATGGACTGCTCCCATTGGCTGTGTGTTTTGAAGAAGTATTGGTCTAGAGGCTAGAATAGACTGAGGCCACACGGAAGAGATCTGTCTAACAGAACAGGTGATATCGGGAGGTGTTACTGTTTCAGCGGGATAATCTCGCTAACTGTGCATTATATTACTTTCAGTACCTTTTTTAGTTAAAGAGGCCTCGCTGGCCTCCACACTCACGTCTGGTGCATCGCGTTGCGACGACTGTATAGCTGCAGGAAATGGTGAACAGGAAAAAACGGCTCTGAAGGCGCCTGTCTATAGCAGTGAATACAAGCTTGGAGACAACGAGGCAGATGGAAACCGAGTCAAACAGCGGAGGATCATGTATACTTAGCTAGCAAAAAAATAAATAAACGCATAATCCTATCGCCCTTCTACTAACGGAATATTCTGTAGGCCAACCTCACTCGCTTCTGGTAGGATTTGAGTATTTAGTATCGTACATGCACGGTCCAATGTCGTGGAACAGCTTTACAAAAGTGGAGGTAGCACAACCACAAACTTCATTCGGTTCAATAAAAGGTAGGTGTAACTAACTTGTGTGTCTATACATAAAAAAAAATGTTAAAAAAGAAATAGCTTGCATGTTTATATAAGCATTATGTGTTTTTTTTTATTTTAAATGCTCGAGACGTTTATTTCAAATATCAGAATTCTTTTGTTGAAGGTTTATAGCAAAACATATATCTGTTTGTAGCAAGTCATAATAATCGCTATTCGTAAAATATTGATTAGATATGATCGTCACAATGTTGTACTTTCAAAAACTGGTAACTAAAATATGAAGAATGCTGTATTTAAAGATTATAGCGCTTAAATGTGTTTCGATTTTTTTATTTTTTAATCAGTAGATTGTTTATTATGCAAATCTACACAAATGCTATCTGTGCATAGCTGTCTGTAATTTTGAACTGATAAACTAGAAGGACGGCGGCCAGTCTACAGCACTCGCCGCCAACTTTTGGGCTACTAGTATGTCACCGAATAGTAGGATTTGACCTTCATCTTATAGCGGACGCGAACCCTGAACCATCGGATTTGTTAAGCCCCTTAAGAGATTTGAGTTTTGTATATCTTGTTATTACAAAATGTCAAAATATTTCCTAGTTTTTGAAAATACATAAACGTGTCGTCACTTTCTGTCTCAAAGCGTATATTCGCCTTTTAATCTTTGACGTGCTCGGCACACTGCGAAAAATCACTACTCTTCAAATAAACACCCACGTTGCAATATTATATAGCCTGCGACGAACCGACCAGACATGTGAGTAGAAACGTGGAAGATGGGTGATGATGATGCTTCGACGCTCGGGTATTCGTGCTTTCTCCGAACATAGCGTTCGTGATCTTAATAAGCAAGAGCTTTTTAAATCCATGTTTCCAACTGTAGGAAACATGAGATGCAATATCAATAAGGACTATGTTTTACGTCGTACTAAAGAGACATACAACAGTGAGAACTATAATTTGCGTCGAAGTAAACATGAACCACAATATATATGTAGAACGCTGTTGGTCTAATCGTAATTGTACAGCATCGCTGATAATAATAATTTACCATTAATGGGTACCATTTCCAAATTAATATATAAAGTTTGGGCAATAATCAGGAGACAGAATGTAACCACGAATTCCAGTCACTGTAGTTAGTTATTTTAATTTGTCAAACATCTCTTGTGAATGAAACAATTAACATTTCTTTTGCGCCCTTAAGAGTAAATGCAGCTTACTACGCTTGTTTTTTGGCTGTGAGATAGGCGGGTGTAAAGTAAGTCTATAACTAGTAGTTAATCAGCCGGGAACACATCGCAACTTATCATTTAGTTGTTTACATCAAGAAGTGAACAGCCAGGATTGAGAAAATAATTATTTTAAAACGGAGTCGACGTGTCTTTTTTTTTTTGTGATAAGTATGCCACATCCTTTTTATGTGAAAAATTTAATTTTTCGTTCTTTATGCGGTTGAATATTAAGGGCTGGAAGAAATCCAGGAGTCTGTGAAACGCTGAAAGCTTCGACTCCATAGCTCGTCATCGAGCGTTTATATAAATGGGCCTAGCATGTTCTACTAGTGGTTAGCGGCCAAACTGTGGATTTTAGAATTCGTGGTTCTCTCGTTGCTGAAAAAAAAACAAAAAAACAACAACAATATAATAATAATAAATCAATCAGTCTTTAACAAAAATATGCTCCGCGCGTCCGCACCGTGGCTGCGTTATGAGAGCGACGATCAATTCCCATTGTTTGACCAGTGTAGCTCAACAGTTGGCGGTGGGTGTTGTTCATTAGATATCTGCCCTATAGTCTAGCACTAGCAGTTAAAACCTAGGGACGGCTGGCGCAGATATACCTTGTGTAGCTCTGCGCGCATATCCGATACAAATATGCAACTAAACTAAGGAAAGCGTTTAGTAGTTCGTTATGAACCTAGATTTGCCTATTAAAATTTTTAAAATGATATTTTCTAAATAACAAGACAAGTGGGTTTCATGAATGAGCAACAGCAAGGTAGAGGCTTCGACTAGTATTATACATTTTCATTTCGTGTATTATGCGATCAGTATGCTGTAGCAACAATGGATAGCTTGTTTAAACGCCGACATTTATATTAAAAGCTTAAAACTCGAAAATAACTAATTTTTTTAACATGTACTTGGACATCATGATGATGTACATAGCGTGATATTCATGATAATACGTTGCACTACGACTGACATCATGATATATGTATACACATAACTAAAAAAATGAAATATTTACCCGTTTCTTCATTTTCCAAAGGTGAATACAATTTTTTTTTTTTAAACATGGTTGTATCAGATACACAACATGGCTATAACAATCAGTATGTTAAAACTGACAAAAGCTTCTGGTTTTATGTTTATTGTATTACAGTTTCAACACCTGCCACACTGATGCAGTGTAGTTTCTCTATCATCCATACATATTCGGATAACTTAGGGTAGTGGGTTCCCAAACTTTCTCACCAAAACCCCCTCCCCCAGAACATTCCGCATCCTGACTGAGGCTCACCACCCAATGAAACTATAGATCCTATGGTATCTTAATAACACCGTGTATTTGCTATGCTACCCCCTCCCCCGGCACTTTCTTGCGGTTCTCGGAGGATCTGCAATCCCCTAGTTTGCGAACACCTATTATTTTTAGCACAGTGTTGATATACATCACAAACTTATAATTGTTAATGTTAAAACATTAAATGAAACTATTTTTGCTTCATTTGTCACACCAACGAATTTTTTTTTTGTCTCACTCGACATCTGTTCTGAATTTTCTGAGCTGATTTTGTAATGATTTTACAATGGTCTGTCGTTGTGTGCGCCAAGGATACTTGCACGACCCGCTCTTAAAGGACCTGTTTCTAATCCACGTGTTACGATTTCACTCTAACAGCGCACGTGTTACAGATGACCCGGACGTGGACAACAACACATGACTACTTCCGTGTCATACAGCTCAGGACATGTATTTTTTTTTTTTTGCCCACGCCGTAACTTTTCACGACGAAATATAAAACAACAAACTACTTATTGTTTATCATCTCAGACTTTACGAACATTGTGTGAAACCACACAGGTAAGAGCTCCCGGAATTACTAGGTTCAGAACACTCTTCACCAACGTAATATGAACGTGGCGGAAACCTGCCAAGTGCTCCAATCCAATTGGGTAATAGATACAAAACTAAACAGTAACCAGGGTACGTTTGTTAAAGATTGACTAGCTAATATTGAGGCTAGGTGTTTTCAACATTACGTTGTGACTGAATGTTAAAGAGTGACTAGCTAATATTGAGGCTAGGTGTTTTCAACATTACGTTGTGACTGAATGTTAAAGATTGACTAGCTAATATTGAGGCTAGGTGTTTTCAACATTACGTTGTGACTGAATGTTAAAGGTTAACTAGCTAATATTGAGGATAAGTATTTTCAAGGTTATTTCATGATGTCAGAAAAACACGTAGGTTCAAGAAGTATTGATACAAAATAATAAAAACCTTATAACCCGAGCGCTTTCGAAAAGTGGATCTTTCTTTTTCAGGGGCAAACTAATGGTTAGATGGTGACTTAATATTAAAAGTTAACTAAGTAATATTGAATATAGCTGTTTTCAACATTACATGGTGACTTAATATTAAAAGTTAACTAAGTAATATTAAGGATGGGTGTTTTCAAGAATTTAGATGTACGATGGGTGAATTTGCTTACATTGTATATAGTTTAATGAGGGATTAACATTTCTGAAATAGTTCTATTTGTGGAATGGATGGTAACATATCGAAAACCACATTACAGCACAGGTTACAGTATGGTGGATTTAATATATCTCACCGTGTAATATATGTTGTAGTATGTTAACTTTTCTTTTTACTTGTTTACATCTCAACTTGAGAACCTGGGGAGTTGAAGTGTTTTTACGAGACTTGCCCCTTAATATGTTGCTTAAAATAATCTGGTAGGTCCAGCCCTTTAACCTGCTTAGAGGGGCAACAACCTCTGAACCGTTACCTTGTTCTTTATATGTGGTTCTTTAATAAAAGACTGTTGTGTGCTTTTACAGTCTACGTTGTGCCCCCCCCCCCTCACCTCTCCCATACACACATTCCCAGATCGCATGTTTTAAAACCAGCGTGGTCCAACATGTGTTTGGCCTTTCACAATACAACGCGCTCCCTGCGCCCTCTCCAGCGTCCTTGTATTGACCACACAAAGGTTTTATTACAGTGTCTGAAAGAGCAGGGAACTTCCGTATTTCGTCTACTTCAAAGCGACAGCAGCTGCTGGTCAGTGACCTCTTATCGGTTAGCTGACCATAAAAGACAAACCAAACATTTGAAAGTTCGTTACTTCCTCCCTACACTGGTAGAATGTCGTGTTTGTGAAACAACGTGTTTGAATACGATGAACTTTGGAAACGTCCGAGTAGAAGAAGATACGTAAAGGTGATCATTATGATCATTACGAATTGAGCGCCAAAAACTGGCGAAGCGTTGGAAACCAATAGGCCTAATATTTGTGACAAAATGAACGTGAGACAGCTATAGTTTGCTGTTCTTTCCACATCCCTCTTACTTTGGATTTTACGGAATTGTAATCAGAAGTGTGTAGAAGTACCATTTCAGATATTTTGCCTCTCACATTTCGCTACCCAGAAGTCCTTCCTTCAATACCAGAAGTCGTCAGTGAAACGTTATTTATATGTGCAGTGCAAAACTGACATTGGTGTTTTCAATCTGAACGACCACTTATGCACACATGGACGAAATGATCTCTGGTAGTCAGGAATAGTCGTCCCTGATTTTTTGACTACTGACCACAAGGGCTTTGTCTGGCCCTGGAACCAAATAATGGGATTGACTGTCACTTATATAGAAATCCCAAATCCGAAATTACGGAGCATGCTCGGTAGCATCGCGGCTCGAGCCTATGGCCTTACGGCTAACCACCAAGTCACGCCCTGCCCATAGTACAGTAATCCTAACGGTTTGGAACAGAAGCTTAT